CTCCTCATAAGGCTTGTGCTCTAGACCCTTCACCAACTTCGTTGCCCTCCTCTGGACATGCTACAGCACCTCCATGTCCTTCTTGTAGTGAGGGGCTCAAAACTGAACACAGGACTCGAGGTGTGGCCTCACCAGTGCCGAGTACAGGGGCACTATCACCTCCCTGGTCCTGCTGGCCACACTATTCCTGATACAAGCCAGGATGCCCTTGGCCCTCTTGGCCACCTGAGCACACTGCTGGCTCATGTTCAGCCACCTGTCGACCAACACCCCCAGGTCATTTTCTGCCAGGCAGCTCTCCAGCCACTCCTCCCCCAGCCTGTAGCGTTGCATGGGGCTGTTGTGACCCAAGTGCAGGACCTGGCACTTGGCCTTGTTGAATCTCATAGAGACTCACAGCAGGGCCTGTCTGGCCTGCCCCTCTCTGTACTCTCCTCTAAGCTGAAGATTCATACACCTTAAGGGGAAAAAATAATCTTAAGTTTTCTTTGGGTTCTCCTTTTGCCGATACTTGCCCTCTTAAATCAAAAACCTTTGTACAAGCCACAATCTATGTAGATTTGTATTCTGTACCTTTAACTATTTTTAGGGAAGTGGGTTTTTTTTAATTCATTTGTAAATCTACTTTTCCCCATACTGACGGAGCTTATTTCCACTGTACTGATGTACAGAAAAAGACGGGGAAATACCCAAAGGGGGCCCCATCACTGTGAAATCTTCCTGAGCCTTACTTTTAGGTTGATGCTGCAGTTCTAAACAATCAAAAGATGGAAAAACATTACCCTAAGAAAAAGAGAAAGACAATTTTTCCTCACACTTTGGGGATTTTTTTAAGCAATCTCTGTGAACAAAGGTCATCGGTTCTCCAAAATGCTGTTGTCTTCCACCCTTTTTCTTATAAGGAAGAAGGTGGCTTGCCAGCCTCAGCAAAGAGGGACTAGGACTAGGTCACTTCAGAGGTATAAAGTCTATGGGGCTGATGAAGAGGACTGCCTGAAACCACATCAGTCCTCTTGATACCATGTTTTCATTTGAGTCAAGGAGGCCTAAAAAAAGAACAAAATAGGTATCTCATTTTTGAAGTGAACTTCAAGAGGTGAGCAATATCATCTCTCAGTGATTAATTTCTCAAAAAGACAAAAAAATATCTGAGTGTGCTATTAATGAGAACAGCTGCCTTCATGAATGTTTAAATTGAAAAGGTTTTTTTTTTGTTCAGTTGTAAAGTGAAAGATCCACTACCAGAATACAGAAAAGGAAAAATGTTCTATGATTACTAAAATTAATGGAACGCGTTTTCTGCAGATTTAAAGCCTACAAGTCCTTTCCCTCATCACATTTGACTGAAACAGCCCAATGCTTCAAAAACGGCTGCATGACTGAGCAGGGGGGTGGAACAGACAGATTGTCCAAATTTCCTTCTTAAGCCTGGTTTCTTGTGGAAATGCAATTCACTAAATTAAATTTTGAAGATTTTTTTTTTAATAGCACATTAGCACTTAGTACTCTTAAAGAAGCTAGCTAACAACATAATGGGGTACTCAGAGACACCCATTACTCAGCCCCTACTTTCCAAGGCTGTAGATGGGACCATGTAACAGTATGCATTTTATGGAAACCGCATATGGAAAATGCGACCTCAGGAGTAGAATCAGTTTACTGCTCTTAGCAGCACTACAGAGACCCACAGAGGTGACGCAATGGCTGCTATCTTCCTCCGCCCTCAACACGTGCTAGGGGATAAAAGAATATTGTTTCACGCTGCCACCTAAAGACATTAAAATGGAGTTCCTAAAATAGATTTACATCACCCTAACTGTAATTACCTTTTATCTCTAAATGCAATTGTCTGACATTGCTAATTATATAAAATATGTTTAAGTTGAGTAAGCCGTACAGTCTCATAAAACATCCTGAACACAGCCTGCTGTTGTAAAGACAACTCTGCTGTAGATAAAACAAGTACATTCCACTTATACTAATCAAGACAAAATTACCAGCAGATATTTTTGTAAATCTGCAACTACCAGTGCTGATTAGGGATAACAACGTAGTGTAGAATCAAAGTGCATGTTAAAAATTCTTGAAACACTGACTGCATTTTAAACTCCCACAAAAAAGTATGTGCAAACTGCATGCAACTGTACCTTCTTCATAAAGGTCTTCCAGCAAATAAGCTTCAGCTCTGTCTTTCAGGGCATTCACATTGGTTGGTTCCAGTTGCAGAACTTCTGTACAAACTTTTATGGCTTCTGTAGCCTGCTGATTCTAGAGAGAAAGTAAAACAAAATACATGTAGTTGTGGGTTGGCGGGGGGGGGGGGGGGGGTGGAGGTGTTTTAAACAAATTTACAGAGGGAGATAGAAGCAGAACTACCTTCGATAAACAGTGACAGATCCTTTCCTTGGCACGAGTAGCATAAATTGGGACTTCTGGCTCAGTTTTCATTACAGCATCGTATTTATTGACAGCATCTTCATACCTGTTTAAATCATAAAAATAAGCATAATATCAAGAAATGTAATAACTATTTCAGGGTGTTATGATTTATTTACAAATTTTAAAATTTTAAAATCCACAGATTTTCACATCCTTCTAGCAATGTACCTTAACTTTAATAGTCTTAAAAGGGGTGGTGTGAGACAACAGTATGAAGAAAACTTTCAGCCACTTCAAGAATTACATCCCCATTCCCTTTTCTGTGCTGAGACAGAAGAGCAGGCACTATGCCTGGACGGCTTTTGCAGAAGATAACAACATTGATGAGATCACCCTGTAGCAGAGAAGGCTCAGGGGGAAACAGTCCCAGCTATCTCGGCCTTTCCTCACAGGAGAGAGATTCTCCAGTCCCTCCATCATCTTAGTGGCACTTCAGTGGACTTTCTCTCTCAGTAGCTTCATCTCTCTTGTACTGGGGAGCCCAGCAGTCCAGGTATGGCCTCACCAGTGCCGAGTAAATGTATGAGAGCTGACAAATATTATCCCTATCTTGGTCGTAGTACCTGCTCCACAAATAAGTTAAGTATACAAAGAGAAGACAGTGGCATCAGAAGGAATCAGAATAGGATTGTTACTATGAGTCAATATTTATTTTAATTGTAATTGGAGAGCTGTGCTCAGTTATCCACTTCAACTGACAGATGCAAAAAGCATCACTTAATCAACTCCTCAATCAATAAGTTGGTGCCTCAGTAGTGATTTTTTTTTTTTAATACAGCAGTGAACACTTACCTGCCTTCTCTGATGAATTCCTCTGGGGGAGACGGACACGACACGACAAAAACAAAAAACAGAAAGACATCACCACACATTATGAAATTTCACTTAGAGACACAATGCAGCATCAATAAGCTGTCCAGAACAACAGTTGACTTCTTTACACAATCTCTTCCTTCATCCAAAAATGAATTTAAAGCGAGACAAAGAAGTCTTCCAGAACATACAGGCATATTTGTCCCGTTTTGTATTTAATTATTTTGTATTGCCAAATATGCAAAGATTGAGAAGTGTTACATTGAAAACTGACTAAACTGCAGAAGAAAAACATACCCTGGGAAAGAAATTATATTCAGCAGTTATCAGATACAAGTGTTTAATTTTCCTATATATTTAACTCAGCTATATTACAAAATACCTGTGCAGAAGTATATTTTATGCTGCCTGAAACTGACAAAGCTCAGCTAAAACCCAAACCTCCTCCTGATGGAATATCAGCCAAACCTGAGCCTAACTTTCCACTGTGCAGACTGTTTAATCAGACTCTTGATTAGGGCAGATACCTCTTAAAATAGTCAAAAGTCTTCAAAAAACCTCCAGAATGCAATCATATGAAGGAATAAAAGTTTTGTATAATACAGTCATTATAGTACAACCAAGGTGTTATTTTCAGAAAGAGATTACAAAACCTTATTTTGTTCCTAAGCATAGACAAAAATATCTATTATTTGAGAATCATTAAGCCTGTAAAGGTAAGAGGAAGAAACTAAGGGAAGGACAAGATTAATCACTCAGCAAGTCCAAGAGCTATAGAACTTTTTCTTAGTATACCCTATGATAAAAAAAAATAGAATCAGAGAAGAATAAAGAAAAGAGGCTTATCCCTTTATTCTGATACCATTCTGTTCAACAGCTCTCTCAATTGTACTTACAAAAATTTTAAGATCTGGTTATTACCTGAGGAAGTCCATGTGTGGATTTCAGAGGAAAAAAAATACCACCTATTCTTGAAATCACTAGGCTAAGTGATGGTCAGCTACCAAAAGTCACCACAGAAGTGACCTATGACCTCCAGTGATTAGGTACACTGTGGAAAGGATATCCCTAATGCAAATCCAATTCGTTATTTGGCATTTACTTTTGCCCAGCTATAAAATGAATTTTTGCAGTTATAATCACATGCAGTTTCCATCCACCAGCCTTTGTCATACACTGCCAAGAAAATAAACTCATTTTTTTTCAGTTCTCTTCACCTCTTACTGAACAGATTCTGTGGCAGAAACCACTTGTGTGCAAAAAGATGGATTATACCATCTGTCCAGCTGAGCACAGAGTAGGAAGTTAATACTCCAGATTGGGCAAGGGCAGTTATCTGCAGGACTGACTAGGGACATATGGGAATAACACCTTAAACTTAACTGACTGTGAATAAAAGGGTAGGACATTATCAAAAAATCATCCAAAATACTGGACACTGTCTGCAAGAATGAAAGATTGACAGCTCCAGATGCCCAGCTCCTCATACTTGGATGCTCCTGTAGTTTGTTTTTTTTTTTATTCTTAAGCTTGTAACCTTTAGTTTCCACTCTCAAAAATGAAAATCTAGCCCTAAGACTTAATGCATACATTTTTTTGTTCGCATTGTAAACTTAACTTAATTGAAAGTTCAAGGTTAAAAAAGGCTCTGCCAAAGCAAGTTCAGAGAAGCACTTTCTTCTAGGATGGAGAAGTACCAGAAAGGCAGTAAATGTAAGCAACTCTGACAGACCTGCACTATGGCTTCTACTTAAGTAAACAAGCTGCTAGGAACCGTCAATGGCTGGTCTGCCAAGAATGGCATCTTCACTGCCAGTTCTTAGCATCTGGAGAGGAGCCTCCTTTATCAGATCGAGACCAGAGTTGCTACTCTATCCAAAACCCAGACAACATGGATATTTCACAGTTTATCATGACCTGTATCATCACATTTTCTGTCTCAATTATAATGATTACAGCAAACAGTAAAATTACCTGAGTGATAATTCATGGTCCCCCAGCTGATAATATATTCTGCTGATTTTATAGAAGGCTTCAGTGTTATCATTCTTTAATTTGGCAGCGGCTTTCAAGTCACTAATGGCTTTGCTTGGTTCCCCTTCTTTTATATAACACTCAGCTCGAAGTTCCCGTAGCTCTGCATCCCAAACACAAACCTTGAGAAATCAAAATTAAAGCTTGTTTTTGGTCCATAACACTTCACTTCTTTTCCTCCCCAACAAAAGAAAAATCCCATTTAACTTCACTTTGCCAACTGCAATAGCATAAGGTTCAAGCTGCACGCAGAGCGCATGAAATTAACATCTCTGCTTCCTGGTGGATGCTGTGATGCACCTGCCCAGAGAGAAAACAAAGGCCTGAAAAATTTGTAAATGATTCAATGAGCTCATGCAGGGAGATGAATTAAATCTACTGGCACTGCTTAAACTGGGACAGTCTGTTGAGCCTCCAGGGAAGGATATCAGAATCATAAATTATTACATCTTCCCAAAAGAATAGGGGTAATGAGCAGCAAGGACCAAGCTGTCAGTTGTCCTCTTGAAAGAAGCCTGTTGGTAAGATTCAGCTACACAAGATTTGACCTTAGTATCTGGATTTTAAAGATCTATACAGAAGTAACAATGTCACAATACGGCAAGAATAATTACTTACAAGGAACTGCCTATCATAATTTGTTTTAGAGAATTTATTATGGGTATTGTACTTTGTCTGTAAACCATCATTTTGGAGAATGAAGCTTTTCTGCTTTTCCATGTTCCCTCCCCATAAACAAACTCCCACACTTTGGTAGCTTCTTCACCAAAAGATAGAATGTTGTAAATTCCAAGTCAACAGTGTTAATTTGTATGTGAAGAGTCACAGCAGTTAACTGTCTTTTAATATATATTTCTATATGACACACAAAATTCCCACAATTGAGTTATTTACACTTACACTATCAGACTACCTATACTGATCAAGATTCAACAAATACAGATATCTAAGGAACAAGCTGAAAATCCAGATAGCTATGTACATTTTTAACTTTGTTATTTTTTGATCTGTTGTTCCTTCATTTTCTCAAGACAAAAAAATTGCCTGCATACAGACAATGAAAGATCTAGATAAAAAAAAACCCTACACCTCCTATATTTGGCAAAGCTTCATTGGTTTGAGAACAACTTTTCTCCCAGCTTCCCCAAAGACACCGAACTGTGGAAAAATATAATCAAGGAAGTTTTCCATAACAGAAGTCTGGCTGAAGTTGTATCGGTAACCCTACCTACAATCTATTATTTTGACTTTTTTTGCAGCTAGTGTTCAGCATTCTCCACTCTCCAACTTCATTATAGACTCATGGTGCTCAGCAAAACTGAGCCAATTACACCAAGCGTTTTCACATCAGTGAAGAAGTTACTAAACAAAAATACATAGATGCCAGACAGGAGCTCTTACTTCCCTTTCACAGTACCATTTTACTTAACACTTACTGCCAAGATTTCATCAAGAAGAGAAATAGCGGCTTCATAATCCTCTTGCTGGTAGGCAGATAATGCTTGTGAATGCAGGCGCTGTAGCTCATCAGATTTTGTCAGCTGAGTCTGGGCTTCTTTTTCCTCATTATTGCTAGGATTGGATTTGAGCTGCAAACATTAACAAGGAGAGAGACTGAATCGCTTGTTCAAGGACCTCATTTTGGACCATTAATAATCATATCGTGGAGAACTGACTAAAGCTGCAAATAAAGCAAAATTAGTTTTAAAATTCCACTGGAAATGTTTCCAACTCCAAACTTCAGAAAAAGAAAAACGTTTTTAGCTTCAGTAAGAGTTCTCAGAAGTTGGAGAAGTCTAATCTCGCAACTGCCCCGCTTCATTATTTACCATTGGACACATCATAAACAACAGTCATTGTCCCCCCCGTCACCCCCTGGAAGTCATGGACCCCTCAACCATAGCCTAGCTAATTCATCTCTCCGCAGACAGTCATTAAACACTGGATTCCCCAGCATCAGTAGAAAGTAAATCCACTTGGCGTAATCACTTATATCGCTTTAAGCATAATACTTATTTTCAAAGGAAATTAAAAAAAAAAAAGGCAAAAATCCCTCACAGGCAACTCTGCTACCACCCAGGAAGACGAATATGGGCCAGGAAGAATCTCAGTCATTCCCATGCAAAGCCAGGGAGTCATTTGTAAAATTAGCATAGTTTGAATAAGGCACTGGCTTCACACTTGTTGCTGATTAGAATGACTTTCAAAGTTTTAAAAGGGAGAGATCAGCAGGACTTGCTTTTTTGTTTGTTCGCTTTTAAAAAAAAAAAAAAAAAATCAAAACTTGCAATACCTTGCATTTTATACACAGAATGTTGACTAAGTTACCAAGTCGTTGAAGTCATCCAGTACCTTTTCTTTCCTCCTTTATCTCAAAGTGGCCCCTTCCCTTTTTCTCATCAGTAAGTTATTCCAACACTCATATTTTGCGCTTAGGTCTCTAATGTAATTCAACAACATCAGCCCTCAGAACTCCTTTAACAAAATTTCCCCTGGTTCTAACACTTAAGTATATGAAAGGAAAAAGCCTAAATGCAACATCAAAAGCATGCACAGGTCCCACCTCTGTCTTAGTTTCTTCATTTAGTCTTTGAACCTTATGTAGTTGTTTAATTTTCCTCTGGCAAAAATCAAGTTGTACTTAGACCTGAAAATTCTCCTTTATCCCCCCTACACCGTCTTTCAGCAAGAGGAGAGGAATGCGATCAAGCAGTTTTCTTCTTTGTAGGCTAATTCCTAATATACATCTCAAAAACCTTTTCTTCTGCTTAGAACAGAAACTCTGCCTATAAACCCCTGATGCTGTGCATCCTTTTTCTTCCCCAAATCTGGAGCTTGTAGCAGAGGCAAATTTCTGCACCTGTAATTTTAAAAGTTCCGAGACTCCAAAACTCTCTGAAGTTCTGAACTCTTTAGTTCCAGCTGACTTGCTTAATTTTCAACCTCAATTTCTCAGCATTTTCCTCTCTTAAAAATTAAGAGCTTTTGCTACGGACGAGCTTTACGCTTCCATTTAAACTTATCTCACGATAACACTGCACTCCTTAGACACACAGCATGCTTCTTGTAATTTATTTGGAGCAAAACGACAGCAGAATATGAAAAGCAATGTTACAATCATACAGACAAGTCCAACAGTAATAAAGACCATTTGAGTGAAACATCCTAGATAATTCTAGGTAGTATAAACTGTTCAGTTAACAAAGAAAGAGAAACTTTTCAAGCTATCATTCAAACTAAAGCCATCAAGTGTTTGTGTGCTACAGTATGATGAAAATATACACTTGGAAGCTCTTAATAAGTAATTAGTGTATTGCCATGAGGTTTTAATCAGTAGTGTTAACTAAAGCAAGCAGCAGCCTGTTCATTCAGCTCCAAGAAAAAAAGCTGGAAATGTGATGTAGATGTTTAATACTCTCATTTTGGTTTACTTCCCAATTTTTTTCTTTTTGCCCTGTGATCAGAGGACTGTCACATCCCTATCAATAACGAATCACATTTTAATTATTCTTCCTTTTCCTGTTGAGCAGTAAGCTTGCAGGTGACAAGTCAGAACAACTGCTTGCACTAAGCGTGCTAGATTTCCAAGAAAGGAGCAAAGTATTAAAAAAACCCTTCAGCTGAATTTAATACTAGTCTAAGGCAAACCTAACACTCCTCATGCTTCATCAAGGACCTCAAAGCACGAAGTCGGAAGCTGTGCTCTGCTCAGGTCTGCTGGACAAGCACACTGCTACTGGTGAACGGGTCTCAGCACAGTATCCTTTGCCGTCTTTGAGGTTTACTACATTCAGATTAGAACACTAAATTAGTTGCCCTTTAAGTTGCAGCAACAAGCGCTAGCCATCTGTTACAGCAGCTTTCATTCACTACCAACCTCGCCCCCCCCCAAACCTGTACCTAATTCCTTTACAGAAAACAAAGGCCAGCACACAGGAAGGGCTTTGTTAGGGTAAGTGATTCTCTTATCACAGATTTACTACTATAGGTGCTGCTTTATTTGAAAGCCTAGTCTCAGTACAGGGGAGAAACACACCCTAGGGTAAGCAAAACCCCGCTTCCCCCGCCCAGGTGAGCAAGAGTAAAGGGAACAAAAATCATCATCATCACTCAATTTATCAAGTCGAGCTTTAAAAGCATTTGCACGTATATCCATCTTTCTCCGCACCACTCTCAGTGAGAAAGCTGGCTTCTTCTGGAACTTTATCTCAAGGACTTGACTCAAAACTTTGCAACATTACCTTGCTGCACCCAGGACAGTGGGAAAAGGTATTAGTAGTTCACTTCATGAAACCCAGCTTATTTTTTTTGGCATCCAGAAAGTGCTTAGATCATTTCTATTCAAAGTAGGCAGCCTTGGAATATCTGCCTTGCATTTGCAGTCAAACATCAAGTATTTAAAAGTTTTCTGATGGGAAAAGCATTTTAACAAGCTAAACAATTCATGCTGGTTTTCAAGCAGCAACATATTCCCCCCTCCAAACCTGCCATACTTCACTGTATTTCACAACTCTGTCAACACGACCTTTCTAACCATACACAGAAGTTACACCAGCCACATACAGGCTACGTGAAAAATACAATGCAGCACTACTTCAGAAAAATACCGTTAATGAGAGGCCATCGATACAGCTAACCTAGTGTAGCAGCAGTGACAAAACACTGAAGCGAGACCAATGTTAAACTACGCAGGATCCATTCGCATTTTGTGTTGGATGCTGCTATCCTGAAGATGTCATGTGCCGGTCTGAATTAATTAATATATTTCAACGTGTTGCACCTACATGTATCTTACAATTATGCTTTCTGGATCAGCAATATGCTTTTTATTTAACAAAGCTTTACAACATTATCTGTTACCATGCTAAAAAAAGGATCCTCAAACACAGAATGCTTACAGGAGACAGAACTGGAAATCATGAACATGGAGCAAGTGCCTCCTGCTTATTAAGTTTAGTAAAGACTTTTCACTTTGTGATCTTTTTTTCAGAAGGATAGGGAAGAGTTACAAAACACGGCTAAGCTAATTGAATGGCTTACCACGACCTGTGCTGCTTTTCAGCTACACAGTCCTACATCTTCCTTTGCAATGGCCCATTAACAATACAGGAAAAGTGCATTTAGTACAGGAATCCTAATGAAGAACAGTTACAGCCACCTTGAGAAATAACCCAACAACTCAAAATCCATACTCTCAAAGAGTATGGATTAAAGAGATACAGGCAATTCACCTGTAGCATTTAAGTATCTTATCTATTATATGAGTATCTTCTCTATTATAAACAGACACTACCAACTTGAAAAACTCTTACATAGTGTCGTTTAAAAACAAATTGCTAAAAAAACAAAACATTATAGACATACTCTTTCTATACCTTGCTTACAGTGGTCCAGCACCACTAACACAGGCATACACCTATACATTCTAAAGCTGTTTTATTTTCTTGTTTTTCACACTGGTAAATACACAGGCAATGAAAAGAAATTGATTAGGCTTGTGAAAAACATTCTGAGGGGAACTGAGGGAACCTCCAGGGTTTGTGCTATCTAAGATCAAGACACCCATGCATTCAAGAACAGTGCACAAAGGAAAACTCTGCATTGGCAGAGCAATGTATTAGGTAACACAACTATGATGTTAGACAGATGGAAAAAAAGCAAGGAAATATTTAAATACCTGGTATTCTTTACCCAGGAAGCTACAGATGATCACAGTACTGCAGAGGAATGTATTTGGACACAATCTAATATTACTTTGATCCGGTTAAGAGAGCTTCAAATACCAAACCCAAGCTTGCCCAGTAACTTACTCAAATCAGGTTAACTTACAGTGCCGTAAGATGGTCTCCTCCACCTACATCCAAAATAGTATTATTATGCATACCAACCAACCATGGAAAACTACTGCCCAGCGTATTTCGCAACAGCCGAGGGATTCTCTAGATTAGAAAACAAGAATTTGCAGTATACAGTGCTCAGCCACTTGGTCTTGGCTGACATCTAGTGGAGCTGGGAGCAGCACCTTAAGTTTCCAGCTTTTAAGTGTTTATGCTTCCAAGGGAGACAGAATTGCCTGTTTAGGACACCTCAATTTGCAGTATTTATTTCAACAAACTGCAATTGTGAACATTACAGTCAGTCTAAAAAAAAGTGAAGATAATTTAAAAGAAATACAACAACTTGGTCCTTTCCACACTTTCCAACAGACTAGCCAGAAGTTGTTCTGTTTTTGTGCCTTCTACAGAATTCAGCAACTCAAATGCTTGTCATTTTCTCTAGGACACAAATAGGGCCACAGACAATATTACAAGGCATATACAAGGGCTGCCAGGACTTGCATTGCTTTTGTTACCTTTTCAGAAGGCCTTCCATCAACCAAAGTATACCAATATTCCTTTTATTTTCACCAAAAATCACATGCTTAAAGAGAAAACAAATATTCCAGGGCTTTCATGGATTGAGGCCTTAGACATGGATACTGATGTGCCCACAGATCTGTCCTGTTGACTTATATTATTCAGAAACTACTAAGCAAAACAGAAGGAACGTGACATTAAAGTAGAGTACTAAATACTATTCATATACTGTGAGCAATGACTTTCTAAAGTCACTTAAAGACTTCTGTTTAATCCCCATTCCATCCTGGGCGCTCTGAACATAAGAAACAGACTCCTCTGCTGATACCCATTGAAAGTTTTATTACCGTCTAGGTCCTAGATTTCCAAACTGGTAGCTGAGTTGCAAAGGAAAAAGCTAAAGAGCTTCTAAAGATTAATGAGTTGTGATTCTGTATCGCTAGACAGGAAAAAACACTGGCCCACGTAAGGAGCTTCATCAACGTGGTGCATCTGTTGGCCAAAAGGAGAGGTTTCTAGAAATGTAGTATTGCTTAACATGTCAAGGCATGAGTCTGAATTACAGCTTTCAGCCAACAGGCAAGTACACAGGAAAAAAAAAAAAGGCAATCTAAAAATAAGGCATGAAGGCTGTGGTCTCGAGAGGCTATTGAGATCCCACGGGCATTTCTTTGGGCCATATCTGCCCTAGTAATAGAAGGAACTTTCATTTCAAGGTACAACTTATTCCTTCTGGCTTCTTGACTTACAATATGAGTCAAAGCTTCCTAGTGGCTACTGTTTACTTTTCCCGTGTTACTTTTGGTAGCAAAGATAGAGTCTGGATGTAAAAGTCTTGAAATCATTTGGAAAGATAGTCAATCCCTAACAACCTTCCTCCTTCTCTCCCCTCCTCTCATATACAAGAAAAACCCAAAGAGACACGGGATGTTAATACATTCCACAGTATTGTGATTCTGACTTCTCCTCATCTTGAGATTAAATGCAATTTCATATTTAGATGCAAACATACTGCCAGAGTAAACTAGGTATGTTAGACACACAGAGAACTGGTAGAATAATCAGACTGACTATCTGAAAGATTTAGAAGAATACAAGGGAAACCTCTCAAATATATATATATTCTACTTCAGAGTCATGCTATGTAGGAGAACTTAATCCCCTCCCTCATATGAGCAAAATATCCAATTACAAAGGATTACTTTAATATTGGCTTATTTTGCTTGAATATACTGTATTTAACTAAAAATTATGCTCTTCAAAAGAGACTGCTTGCCATATTCTCTAAGTACATAGGCAATAATGTTCACAGAACCAAGGAAACTGGAAGTAAGATTTAGGACCAATATGGTATCTTCATGAGTCAGCTTCTGAGAAGAAGATTTGAAACTTGACCAAAGACTGAAACTATCTGACTGACCAAAGGTAGCAACCCAAATTTTTGCAGCTGGTTTGGAAAAAAAAGCAAGCTACTTGACAGCTGACTGGAGAAGCATTTCCATATGCACTATTAAGCAATACTGCAAGAAACAGAAACTGCAAAAAGATGCATACGCAAACTCAGAATCAACACCGACATCACGTAATTGCTATTGCAACTATGTCCTCAGTTAATCAGAGCCGAGTGACCACCCCTGTGCCTACAAAAAGCAGCCTGGGAGCACTAGCGACCAGGAGCACTGCGAACGGAGCGGGCAAACAGGACGTGGCGTGGCAGTTTGCGCAGAAGGGCGTAGTCACCCTACCAGCTCAAGAGGTGAGTTCAATTGGTGGTCAACACCCTCTCAGAAGAAGCTCAGCTATGGTATCCCCCTGGCAGAAAGCCATGTCCTCTGCATTTGCCAGAATGGATGTGGCAACCCAGAGTTCCCACAAAAACATGCGTCCAGCCAGGTCTCAGGCTGCAGAGTGCCAGAGCCTTTTGCTGGTAACAGATGGCAGCAGTGAGAACAGCTGTGTGAGGTGCGACCAGGTGGAGGATCTGCTCAGCCTGGTGGCAGAGCTACAAGAGGAAATAGGTTGAGGAGCACCAGGGAGTCTGTGAGAGACTGGTGGAACCATGCTCTGCCCTCCCCAAGACAGAGATTGCCACCAGAAAAAAAACCAAGATCAAGGGGATCCCGTACGCTCCCCCTGCCAGGTTGAAGGCAGTAGTTTAAAGGAAAGAAGTGAGTGGAGGCAAGTCCACACTTGGGCCATGGCAGTCAGGTGAAGTCCCTGGGGACTGGAAAAAGGGAAACATTGCACCCATTTTTAAAAATGGTAAAAAGGAGGACCCTGGGAAATACCGACCTGTCAGCCTCACCTCTGTGCTTGGGAAGATCATGGAACAGATCCTCCTAGGAGCTAAGATAAGGCACATGAAGGACAGGGAGGTGATTAGAGACAGCCAGCATGGCTTCACCAAGGGCAAGTCCTGCCTGACCAGCCTAATGACCTTCTATGATGGAGTGACTACATCAGTGGACAAGGGAAGAGCTACAGGTGTCATCTATCTGGACTTAAGCCTTTGACACAGTCCCCCACGACATCCTTCTCTCTAAATTGGAGAGATGGATTTGATGGGTGGACTGTTTGGTGGATGAGGCGTTGGTTGGATGGTCGCATCCAGAGGGTAGTGGTCAACGGCTCAATGTCCAGATGGAGATCAGTGACAAGCGGTGTCCCTTAGGGGTCCAAACTGGGACCACTGCAGTTTAATACCTTCATCATTGACACAGCGGGATCAAGTGCACCCTCAGCAAGTTTGCACGACACCAAGCTGAGTGGTGTGGCTGACACACCCGAGGGACAGCATGCCACCTAGAAGGACCTGGACAAGCTTGAGAAGCGAGCCTCTGTGAACCTCATGAGGTTCAACAAGGCCAAGTGCAGGGTCCTACACCTGGGTCAGGGCAACCCCTGGTATCCATACAGGCTGGGGGATGAAGGGATTGAGAGTAGCCCTGTGGAGAAGGACTTGGGGGTACTGATAGACGAAAAGCTGGACATGAGCCGACAACGTGCACTCGCAGCCCAGAAAGCCAACTGTATCCCAAGCTGCATCAAAAGCAGCGTGGCGAGCAGGTCGAGGGAGGTGATTCTGCCCCTCTCCTCTGCTCTGGTGAAACCCCACCTGGAGTCCTGCGTCCAGCTCTGAGGTCCCCAGCACAGGAAAGACCTGTTGAAGCAGGTCCAGAGGAGGGCCACAAGCATGACCAGAGGGCTGGAATACCTCCTCAATGAAGACAGGCTGAGAGAGTTGGGGTTGTTCAGCCTGGAGAAGAAAAGCCGCTGGGGAGACCTTACTGCAGCCTTTCAGTACTTAAAGAGGGCTTATAAGAAAGATGGGGACAAACTCTTTAGCAGGGCCTGTTGCGATAGGACAGGGGGTTTTCAACTAAAAGACGGTAGATTTAGAATAGCCATAAGGAAGAAATTTTTTACAATGAGGGTGGTAAAACACTGGAACAGATTGCCCAGAGAAGTTGTAGATGCCCCATCCCTGGAAACATTCAAGGTCAGGTTGGTCGGGGCTCTGAGCAACCTGATCGAGTTGAAGATGTCACCTCTCATTGCAGGGGGGTTGGACTAGGTGACCTTTAAAGGTCCCTTCAAACCCAAACCATTCTATGATTCTACCATTCTGCGACATTCTCCCACATTTGCAAACAGCAGGGCTGCACTGCTATCAGACACGCACCTGCAGACCACACACTCCTAAGAAACTTACTGAGGAAGCAGCAGCAGCCAGAGAAAATTCATTGCTACATGAATTTTCAGAGTAAGCTACCGTAGCTCTGCTACAAACACAAAGACTGCCTGGTGCATTTATACCTGCAAGAGCCATTCTTCCCAGCTGCCCTGCAGAACGTACAGTTTAGCTGCTGTGTTTTTGTTGTACACACTCACTAGTAAGATTTCCATTGAACATCTGTAACCTGCAACGCAGAACTGCTTTCTCCATCACACTTCAAAGAAAGCCAACAAGACAGCACCAGTTACGCTTGCAAGTTCTATTTATTTTGGCATAAGGGACATGCAAGCTGTTCAAACTAACAACTCTTGAAGAGTAAACAATGGTAAGAATGAATCTTATTCTCATGCTTACAGAAATTTTGTGCAACCGAGAGGGAACAGAGTTTCACATATTCTCCGAGGAATTTTGTTCTGGGGTTATATCAGTTTATTTTTGCAGCGTAAGGCTGAAATGCACAAAATACCCATTGAAATTAAAAACAACCCAAGCGAGTTTTAGGTGGGTAATATCCAGCTGTGTTTGTATAGAAACTCTGGGCACTTCCTGATCATGGAGAGAAAGTATTGTCAACACATTCATGAAAGATGGAGAACTCTTCTGCAGATGAGAAGACATGCAGATGCGTGCCACTGAAATTCATTGATTTTAACAGCCCAGTGACTAAATTAAGAGCCCAGAATCCTTCTGCCACCAGTGCAAAGAGACAGGAACCTTCAAAGGCTGATCCATGAGGCCCCTCATGATTTCCCAGGGTGACCTGAATATAGTGATGTAAAGCTGGGTTCAATTATGTACTTTGAGTCCCATGTCACTTATCCTTTCTTTGTCAATGAAGATTGCTCCCTAGTCCAAGTGTCATCAAGCAGACATCATGAAGTGCCAGGCACACACACAAAAAGAAAAAAAAGACTTTTCAAAGTGCTGTGCTACTTCATTCAACACCTTCTGATTTCATCTTCATCATTGCACTGCAACTTTATCAGTTGGTTTATTCATAATAAGGTAGCTTAGCTACAATACCTTTGAAAAACAGGAAAGACAACCTCCGCTATACATACACATATGTTCTAGAGCATCAGAGTTGAGATGAGACCTTGGCTCAGAACTCAACCTTAAAAGCAGTGATGTAGTTCAACTTAAGCCTACAACTTACCACGTTTTTAAAGTCATCCTCTGCTTCATCAAATTTTCCTTGCTTGAGTAGTAAGTGTCCTCTCTGCAATCTTGCCTGAAATGAAACAAAGTAATTTCTTTTGATTTACAAATTGGAGTTCAGCAAAGTATGAAAATAAGCTTCAGTTTCCTTTAGCAGAAAAAGAAAAAAAAGTTTTATTTTACTGCAGCTAACAAGCTGAAACAGAAATCGTAACACCTATTCTGTGTCTTCTCAATTTGACAATGTTCTTATGAGGCTTCTTTGATGGTAAAGGACCACTCTGCACCAGAACTGAGGGACAAAAAGCAGCCACAGCTTTTATGAGCAGCTGCAACTCATGGAAAGAACTCTTTGAAGAGTTCCATAAAGCAAAGTGAATGTTTACCTTACACCACTTTCCTGATTATAACTGCCCATAGATTTTAAGAAAGTAGCAGAAAAACATAAATAATAAACAATGCCCACATTTAATTCCTTCACTAAACTTTCAGAATAATAGAAGCTATGTAAAAAGACAAGTCAACGATTTAGAAGATTTTGATCTATGATAAGAATATTTTCACACAACAATGAATTTAAGGCTTGCTCCTTCATTGTAAACTATACAGGGCATGCCACTACCCATGGAAAAGGGAGATAAGAGAATCAGATGGAGAGGGCTCCAGCATCAGTCTCCAACTAGTGAGGCAGTCTCCACGTACGGTAAGCAGAAGTGAGCAAGGGGTAAGTAAATCATTAACTTGCAACAATCCCATAGGAAGGCAGTGAGATCAGGACAGTTCCTATGGAGAAGAGATGCCTCAAATCAAATGCTGATTAAGACAGAAGAAAAACAAGAGGCATCTGTGCACACTCTTCCCCTCCTCGCTCTCAGAGGGCATAGCCTTGGTGACTGAGAGAATAACCACAAGTGAGAGAAGGAAAGTGTCTAGCACAAACCCATGAGGAACATGCACTTAACAAAACCACCATTAGTTGTTAGAATAACTGGCTAGACTGTACTTAGCATAGTTGCAAATTCAAGCACATATACCACTGCTATTATTTTACCCTATTTAAAGGCTTCTCAGTGATAATGTATTTTCTATTTCTGTTTGGCAAAATCTGAAAAAAAACCAACCTTCTTCAAAGCAGTGGGTTTTTTTACGCTTGAACAATTTGCGACTCCAGTCATACTTACCGATGTGAAGTCCTGCTTTAATTCAACCACTTTACTTAAATCACGAATTGCTGCTTTAGATTTGCCCATGGCTAAGTACACTGTGGCTCTTCTGTAATAAGCAATGTAGTTATCAGAGTCTCCCTCTGCAAGTGAACAAACAGTAATCAGAATACTATCTCAAAGCAACTGAAACTTTGGGTACAGTGAAACTGTAATGACTAAAAATACATTACCTGAGTTTTAAGCCACTGGAAAAAATGGTATTTATCAATAAAACATAACATTTGTAACATTATCTAGAGCAGTATTTTCTATGCAGTTTGGTTATTTAACAATAAATATTACAGAAACACAGTAAATGCCAAATAATTAAAGAGTACCGAGGTTGAAATATGTACATGTTTTTCAGCTTTGTACAGGGAAACAGCCACTACATACTAACCCTTTATCTCCAACTGCAGGCCTACACTTGAAAGCATGTTAATTCATCATTCTCCATCCCAGTCCCTGTCCATCATATCGGATAGAAGCAAATAATCCCAAAATGACCAATATGTTAGTTCAATGTCATCACAGACACATAAACCCTTTACACCATCCATTGAAACAGCAGCAACTTCTGTCTTTAATATTCCAATGGGCACCAACACCCCCTCTCAACGGCAAACACATGTGCCTTATCAAAACCTGAAGGCTAACTTCAAGGCCCACACACTCCATATTGTCTGCTGCTCAAACTTCCAAGATCCAGCAATTTTAACACTCTCCAGGCTAGCACATGTAAGTACACCCTTACAGGAGACAAACATCAGCCTCTGAAACCAAGAAGAATTTTCTTAATATTCTTCTCTGTGCAGTATTTCAAAGAAACAGATGACAGGTACTGTGGGCTCACAAGGAAAGGTAACTTAGACCACCCAAACAACCGTACGCAGTGGAAGACAGTAAATGTTGTACTGTGCTATTAAAAAAAAAAACATCAACCCAGAATTTGTAGACAAGAACATCCATATCTGAGGAACAAAACAAGTATTTCTCTTCCTCACCTCATTTGAGGTTAAAAGTGAACTTTAAAATAAATAAATAGCATTACCAAAAATCTTATTGTTGGTAACTGAGCTTCATAGCTGGCCACCTCCATTACCAAAACACTAGTTCAGTTCTCACTGGAAAAGGTATCCGTACTCTTCCTCTACAATGTCTTGGCTGTGGAAATGCCAACATCCAGCACTGAAATTTAATAATAACTCCCATGCTTGTATGCAGGCATTATGGACATCAAGTAAATTCAAACGTTACTACCTTTAAAAAAAAGGAAGTATCAAGTCCTACTGCATACAACTAAATGTTTAGAGTAGGCACAAATCAATAGCTGAAATTAAGGAACTTTATTAATACACAAAGGATGAAAGATAAGAAAGAGCTAACCCAGAAAGCACGTTCCAGCACCAGATGATCTTTCTGACAGTCAGAATATGGTTTTGCCTCAGTTCCCCAGTAACAGTAATGAACAGCAATTGACATTTACCCAGAGAGAAGGCATAAGTCATCAACTTGACGGGACTGAAGAAAGAGTTGAAAATTTAACTGAAGAGAGAGAAAATGGACAATAGTTGTCTTTTATTTTAGATGTTTCCAAAAAAGAAAAATAGGCTGGCTGAGGCAAGACAAAAAGATCTATTTACTTCACAGTCTACAATGATGCAGTACAGGCAAAAAAGGACTAGAGAAATTTCTTCTCCCCTCCTCTACAAACACAGTAGGCAAATCCTGCTTGAAATCTTTTCCAAAATGCAAAATACAAAGACGAAAAAGAAGTCTGATGAAAGTTTAGGTAATCAGGCTCAAGTCAACATCCAACTAAGAATCCCATCAAGGTCACAACGGAGGTGGTCACACCACAGTTCTGCCAGCCGCTTGAGCACTGCTGGCAAAGCAGAGGGCTTCACCCCATGCAGGCACCTCACTGCTCCTCCCACCGCTGCTGCCTTTGCATGGCCACAGACCGAACTGGACTTTTCACCAATGCCAAGTTAAAGCTTGCCAACCAATAATAAAGGAATAAACGACGTTGTAACACTAACTCTGCTCAGACCCCACAGGAATGCTTTGGCAGAGACACACAAAGCAAAAGGAGTAACAGACCACCTCTTGGTGGAAAGAGGAACTTCCATAGCACTGAAAAAGAGGAAGACACCCCCTCCACTCTCTTTATATAAGGGAAGTTTGTCTTGGAGATCTCATAGAAAACATTAATAGCTCAGAGTCAGCAGATATTTCATTTACATATCACTATTAGACAAAGGCATAAATAGAAAAGTCTCAATAGTATGACTCATTGCTGTGAAACACCTTGGTATTATTCTTCTCACAGAGAAAATGATGCACTTGTACACATTATAACAAAGTCCAACAACTTAAAAAAATAAAAGAAATGCATGCAACTGAGAAATCGTAGCGTTAATGGACACTGCTCTTTACTGGTGCTGTCTGTCTCTACATTTCAATTCAAGGATTTTAACCAGCAAAGTTGCTTTAAAATTTATACACGCAAACATTTAACTCCTCACTTTGTTGAAAATGCAGATCACCAAAACAAGAACTCACTGACTAGCTGAGTATAAGAGAGGGACAGTTAATATACTGAACTGGTAGTGAAGAGTATCTCAAACTTGTAGCATCGGTTTCACTGAGATATCCCCGACTTCATGATTTAATTTAGAAAAAAAAAAAGAAGAGACTATTTGAAATGTTGAATTTTTTTACAGTGCTGGAGAGAAGAAAGCATGGATAAACTCAACCTTTCAAAGACATACTTCGAAAAACTTCATAAAGATAAAACCTAATCTTGATAGGATTAGATACAGGGAATACCTCATCAAGCAATACCACAGTCATTTATAATTGCTTCCATACAGCTAGCTTGCAGAATAGCAGTGACTTAGTCTTCATGTATAACGTAGTTAATTTAACAGTTTCTTTTATCAAAACCAAAGCATAAATATTCTACTGCATCTCTGTTGGCTCCCACCCAAACTGCTGCATAAAGGTGCCCCAACTTCTATGACTCATGGAATGCAATTTGCAAGAATGCAGGATACTTAATGAAGCAAACAGTAGGGGGAAAAAACTCACCCAAAGGTACTTCAGTGCAAGAGTCACCTTCCCGAGATACATACCTATAGCTGCATGAAAGTGAGACAAAGCATCTGCTAGCTGTCCAGCAGCCAATAACTTCTTTCCCATTTCAAGTTGTTTTTCTACTTCTGCATTTATTCCACAATCAGCTCCTTAAAGGAAAACAAAAAGATCAAGGTTTTGAATGACCAGTTTGATTATACCAAATGCGTACAGTGATAACACATGTAACAGTTATTGACGTAGAGGCAGAAGTCGCGCCTTCCCATACTAAAACAACCTGCAGCCTAATAAGCACGTAGCATGCCTTCCCTGCCCCAAAAAGGATGTAGAAGTAAATAGATAAATGCTGTAAAGCACCGCATTGTGAGTAAGCGCCAAATATGCATTTCTATTCCTGTCTATACATTGAGTAACATACTTTTGCACGTCAAGCTTTATACATCAACTACAAAAACAGTTTGACAAAATGCATTTCTGTGTGGGCTTTCAATTTAAAAAGAATGTGGAAAAACACTCATAACGCACATATAGCAAATACAAAAAGGCTTTAAGTTAAATTACATGACCCTAATGATAACTTAGGACTCAACTGAGAACTGTTAGCTACTGAAGAGACTGGCTTCTCATCTACTGCGCTTTTGTCTCATCTTTATTGTTTCCAAGGCAAACTGTTTCCAGGGCACAATTTTTGATATAAGCAATTAAAATTCTCACTCCCTTTTCATTTAACCAGTAGCATGAAAATCATATTAAAGTGGTATGCGTTTGAAGTGCCAGTTTTAAAGCTAATAAATTGCTGCTGCTCAACCAACAGGGAAAGACTATTGTTGAGAAGCGAGCAGCTAAGTGCAATGTACATGCTGCACATACATCAATTCAGCCACACAGGTTTCATTTGTATTGCTTCCAGCATTTGGACAGCCTGGAGCCACGGGCCGAGGCCAGCTGTATGAGATTCAACAAGGCCAAGTGCCGGGTCCTGCACTTGGGTCACAACAACCCCATGCAATGCTACAGGCTGGGGGAGGAGTGGCTGGAGAGCTGCCTGGCAGAAAAGGACCTGCGGGTGTTCGTTGACAGCTGCCTGAACATGAGCCAGCAGTGTGCTCAGGTGGCCAAGAGGGCCAAGGGCATCCTGGCTTGTATCAGGAATAGTGTGGCCAGCAGGACCAGGGAGGTGATAGTGCCCCTGTACTCGGCACTGGTGAGGCCGCACCTCGAGTCCTGTGTTCAGTTTTGGGCCCCTCAATACAAGAAGGACATGGAGGTGCTGGAGCGTGTCCAGAGGAGGGGAACGAAGTTGGTGAAGGGTCTAGAGCACAAGTCTGATGAGGAGCGTCTGAGGGAGCTG